AAGGTGAAGGATCTTCAACAACAAAGGAAAGCCTGATTCAAAGATGGGCAAAGGACTTGAACAGACATTTCTTCTAAGGAGATACACAAATGGCCAATAAGCACAGGAAAAGACCCTCCATACCACTAATCATTAGGAAAATGCAAATCGGCCATGAGATGCCATCTCACACCCATCAGTATGGCTACTACCAAAACAACAAAAAATTACAAGTTAGGCCAAGGATGTGGGGAAACTGGTATCCCTGTTCATTGGTGGTGGCAATGTAAAATTGTAAAGTCACTGTAGAAAATAGTATGATTTCCCCTCAAAAAATTAAAGCTGTAACTACCACATGATCTAGCAATTCCACTTCTGGAAGCAGAAGCAACACAAGTGTCCATTGAGAGATGAATGGGTAAACCAAATGTAGTATATACACACAATTCAATATTATTCAGACTTCAAAAGGAAGGATGTTCTTACACATGCTACAACATGGGTGAACTGTGAGGACATGATGCTAAGTGAAATACATCCATTGCAAAAGGAAAAATACTAAACAGTATGATTCCATTCATATGATGTACTTGGAGTAATTAAATTTATAGAGTCAGAAAGTAGCATGCTGGTCTACTTTGCCAGGAGCTGGGAGGAGTGGAGAATGGGAAGTATTTTTTAATAAGCATAGAGTTTCAGTTTTGCAAAATGAAAAGAGCTCTGGAAATGGATGGCAGTGATGGTTGCACAATATTACAAATATCCTTCGTACCACTGAACGGTACACTTAAAAATGGTTACAATGGTAAATTTCACATTATGTGTACCTTGCCACAAAAAAGAATTCTTTAAAGAAAGTGAAATACCTTAAAATTTATGATTAAAACTATGCATCCAGTCAATACCTCTTCTCCTTCTAAAAGTAACAGTTCCTGGCTTGCACCAGTTCCTGGTGGAGATGACTGACCATGGGACACCAAGTGACCAGACTCCCAATACTTACAATTCATGAACCGGGCGTTACAAGATCGACTTGGTCGGCCAGGTGTGGTGGCTCACGCCTAGAATCCCAGCACTTTGGGAGGCCGAGACGGGTGGGTCACTTGAGGTTAGGATTTCAAGGCCAACCTGACCAACATGGAGAAACCCCATCTCTACTAAAAGTACAAAATTAGCTGAGCATAATGGCACATGCCTGTAATCCCAGCTACTCGGGAGGCTGAAGCAGGAGAATCGCTTGAACCCAGGAAGCGGAGGTTGCAGTGAGCCGAGATCATGCCACTGCACTCTAGCCTGCAAAACAGGGTGAAACTCCGTCTAAAAAAAAAAAGATCTACTTGGTCATAAAGTTGGAAATTTTATGAGAAGTCCTCTACCATTAGGGACAGATGATACCTACAGCGGACAAAGGCTGTAAATCATCTGTGCTCAGAAGCCCAGGATACTGCCCTGGCCACACTGACAGCATGCCCTCAGCCTCTACCCAAGGCCTCACGGTAAATTCCTGATGACCTATTAACTAAAGAGGAAAACAACTGAAGCCAAATGTACACGTGGCTCTGTACCATATGTCAGATCCAGCCCCAGGTGGGGCACTGCAGTCATTATAGCCCCACCTCATAGTGGGGAAAGTCCTCCCAGGGCGCAGTACTTTGTCTATAAAATAGACCGTCTGGACTAAGGCCCTGCATTGATTCATAGAGAAGCTTACGGTTGGCCATATGGTCAGGGACAATGCTACAGTTTTTTAAAAGGCCATATATAATTAGTTTGATGTATTAAAATGTATATATGTACAATAGAAACTACATATGGCTTAATGTTAGCACTATGGGTGGTTCTAAAATGTTTCCCTTACATTTTCCAAGTTTTTTTCCCAATGGTTGTGTATTATTCTTATAAACAGGAAAAAAGTTAACTATGTTTTAAAAAGAAACTTCCTTATGGCTCCACATCATGGGAAGCCATTTAGCGTGCTTTGCAGAGTTTATTTTGCTCTGAAGTCTGTCTTCTGTAAGCAACACTGTGGTCAGTCTGTGGACACATTACATTATGGCTCTCTATGAGCTTGGCTTGGGCCAAAGACAGTGGAATCATAATGTTTATAACTGATCCAGTCATATAAATATAGGATGCAAAATGAGAGGCTTTCTGTTGATGTGACAGTACATGAGGCAGTGTGGCGTCTCCAGTCATTCAGGTTGTGGCATGAGCCTGGCTAGTGTGCAATTCCTAACTCTACTGTTCACCAACCATATGACTTTGGACAACACAAGCCCAAATTTCCTCTTCTTGAAAAGGGGAGGATGCCAGCCATCTTATGTTGTCCTTATAATGTGGTCAAAATGATTAAAGGTGGTGAGATATGGAAGGTATCTCTCTACCAGTACTGAGCTCACATTCCATGCATGGGGCAAGAGAGTGAATGATGGGAATGCAACAAGGAGATGGCGCAGCTCTTTCCCAGCTCTGAAAGGCTGCTTAGAAAAGGCCTCAAAAGTCTCAATTAACTTTCTAGCCCAGTAGACCGTAATCAAGTGGATCATGAGCAAAAGGTGGCCGATTGGAAAAGAGGCCCATCAGTGCTTTGAAAGACTGAAGTGGGAAGATCACTTGGGGCCAGGTATTCAAGACCAGCCTGGGCAACACAGGGAGACTCCACCTCTACAAAATTGAAAAAGAAAGAAAAAAAGAGAGGGATATGAGGAGTGTTTGTACATTCCCCCCCTCCCTCAGGGCCCCGATCCTCTAGTGGGATTACACCCAGTATGGGTGAGAGCAACTCTTCGGGTACATCTAACACTCCCAGAGGCAGAGGGGAAGTTACGGAACAGGAGGGCAGCGCTTCCAGTTTTGAGGCGGCAAGCCCACGCAGCAAGGACACACGGAAGGAGCACCTACTGTTCACTCTGCTCTTACCTTTTATTTGGGAAATAATTTGAGAAAGATGAGCTCCAGCATGTCCCAGGTGGACCGAGGGTGGAGAGAATTTGACAGCATTGCAGTTACAAAAAAGCATTTTCTCTTTCTTTCTTCTTTCTTGCATTTTCTCTTTCTTTCTTTCTTCTCTCTCTCTTTCTTTCTTTTTTTCTTTTTGAGACAGTCTCTCTGTCGCCAGGCTGGAGTGCAACAGCACAATCTCGGCTCACGGCATCCCCCGCTTCCCAGGTTCAAGCAATTTTCCTGCCTCAGCCTCAGATGGTCTTGATCTTCTGACCTCGTGATCCGCTCGCCTCGGCTTCCCAAAGTGCTGGGATCACAGGCGTGAGCCACCGCGCCCGGCCCAAAAAAGCATTTTCCACACTCCATCGCTACAGGAAGTGCACTGCTTCTCTCTCCCTCCCTTCCACGAGGTTCTGGGTCTTGTGGAATCTGAAGCTACAGGGGCACAGCCAGGTCCGAGGGCTCCCAAGAGCGGATTGCAGGGCTCCTCCAGGCCCCGCGGGGTTTGGCGAGGTCCTGAGACAGCCTGAAACAGCCCGAAAGCAGCCGCGGAGGGAGCGCTTACTACCCACGCGCGGCTGCACAAACGCTTCCGCTTCCGTTCCATACACTTCCGCTTCCGTTCCATATACTTCCGCTTCCGTTCCATTCGCGCCCGTAGCCTGGCCTGCCCTCACTGGCTGCTTACCACGAGTAGGGACCATGTGCTCTCTTGAATCTGAGGCCTCACATCTGTGAAATCAGGTGGATAAACTCATTTGGAGTCACCCTCCCTAATCTATGAAATGTACCTAGCACAGTCCTGGAGAAATAAGGAAGGGTCACTTAGGATTAAGGCCACTTTCCCTTAAGCAGTTGCAGACTGTTTCTGGAGTTTTGTAGGGTGCTTTGTTAGCTTTCTCTAGGATTTTCAGGCAAGGAGGAAGCAAGCACATAGGAAGCTCTTGTCTCCAAAACAGAACTGCAGGAGGCTCAGCCGAGAGGAAGGCCAGGGGCGGCCAAGGGGCCACTGTTGAGGTGCCACGTATGCCACCGTCCCCTCCACCTTCCCACCTGCTGCCCAACCTTGTGACATTTGCAATATTTCTAACCAACCGAAGTCTTAACAGAGCTGTAGTTACCGAAGTGTGGGGCAGGTTTTTTCATAAAGGGAGGTTATGAATCAACCTTCAACTCCCCTGTTGAAGTGGTGTTGGTGGGTGAGAGAGACAGAGGGAGAAAGGGAAGAGGAGGGAGGGAGGAAAGAAAGAGAGAAAGGGAGCGCTCCTTTCTTTATTGCTGGCTTCCCTGATGTAATTATGCCTGAGAATGACAGCCTTGAAGGAACATCTGGGGCCCACCATGTGCCTTCTGCTATGCCAGAAAAGAGATGACTTCTAGATGTGATTCTAACATGGGAGCACTCTCTAAGCTTACCAAAGGAAGCAGCAGGCTTTTCTAATTTATTGTGCCAGATGAGAGAATTCAGAGTTTGAAAGAAAGTTTTCATTGCAATGTCAAGGTAGGAGTCCTCAGGACACCCCCTACCCTGAGAAGCACAAGCCCCATCTGCTCTGGGAAGATTCACCCTGCGGAAAACAAGCTCACTTTTTTTGTGTGTGTGTGCATACACTGGAATGAATAGAACATTTCAAGGACTTTTGAGACATCAGTCAGCTAGGGCAAGAACAAAGTTTCATTTGCTAGCCTCATTCAAGCTCCTTACAACTGAGATTATCCTCCATAGATATTGATGATTGCTAATAGTTGGAAGAGTCACCCACAGGAAAGACTGATAGTCAATTAATCTCTGGTGGAAACCAATGGCTTCAAGTAGAAAAATCACAGTCTTGGCTGGGCATAGTGGCTCATGCTTATAATCCCAGCACTTTGGGAGGCCTAGGCAGGTGGATCACAAGGTCAGGAGATCAAGACTATCCTGGCCAGCAAGGTGAAACCCCATCTCTACTAAAAATACAAAAATTAGCTGGGCGTAGTGGCACATGCCTGTAATCCCAGCTACTCGGGAGGCTGAGGCAGGTGAATAGCTTGAACCAGGGAGTCGGAGGTTGCAGTGAGCCAAGATCGCACCACTGCACTCCAGCCTGGCGACAGAGTGAGACTGTCACAAAAGAAAAAAAAAAGAAAAGAAAAATCACAGCCTCGACCTGACAATGAATTTGCTACCATGGTTTGATCATTTAGAATTTAGTCTCAACAGTCTTGAGAAAATTCTGAAATTATTTCTGTGACTCCTCAATTTCTTTCATAAGGAAGGGAAGGTGCAAGTTCAGAGTGCCTCCAGGGAATGGTCAATATCATGTATAAACAGATGACTAATAGCCAGAAAAGGCATCAGCATAAAGAGCAATATTTTTTCCCTGTGTGTACAGAAAAGATGGCTTTGTGTCAAAAGACAGCTGAAAGAAGTGATTTGTTTTCTTTTTGACGACTTAAAAAATGAAATATTTATAGGATTTTTAAAAGCAAGCATTTGCTTATTGCCAAGAAATTCATTTGGCTGTTATTTTAAATTAAGAAAAAAAGGTCTCCAACTTTGATGTGTTAAAAATTGTAACTGTTTATTGGGAGCAGGAGACTAAAAACTCTCATTTTATTGCAGCCTATGACATATACTCAGTGATTAACCTTTAACAGTGAAACCAGAATATTCCTTCTAAGTTCTAGAATTCAGTGAGAATCTAAACATTTTCTCCCAATATTCTTTTATTACAGACAATTTCTGGTTCAGTAAAAGTGCACTGCATTACAAGACAACATTCAAAACACTGGGAAGAAATATGTTTTAAACTATTTATCATCCTATGGGGTTTTAATTTTCTGCTGACTGTTACAACCAGAGAATGGAGAGTCTTCTCAAGGGGGGAAAGCTATTTATGGATGGTTTGTGATTAGGAGCAGCTGCTCTTTACCATATATTACCTTTTGTGATAACCACATTTTCACACAAAGCTGCCACTAATAAGCTGGTGCACACTAAACAAACTGCAGCAGAACTGTTACCTTGAAAGAAAGATGTCAAATGAAAAGCTCTTCCAGGTTTTCGTATCCTTGAGTTTCTTCATTGTGGGAGAATAATAAATCTGAAAGCCTGTTGCATCTTGGGAATCTAATGTTACTAACAGAAGAATACAGTCAAGTGGTTTCTGTGCAGCTTTCACTCCGGGTTAAAATGAAAAACATCTTATACGAGAGGTTGAATCTTCATGGGAATTAGAGATGCTTTTTATTCAACCCATACAACCAGGATGAAAATATATGGGTTATGTTGTAATGTTTCTCTACCAAGCTGGAGACCAAATCATACTTGCATTGTGCTTGCATACTTGAGAGCAAGAGAGCAGAGAGAATTTTGAATCTCAATATGCTGTTCCTGGCCATCTAGGTGAAAAAGTTTTACAATAAAACAGTAACTTTCAAAATATTTGTGATTAGCAATGACTAATTCGGCATCTCATGGTGGACTTTTGGAGATGCAAAGGTTAAGAAAAATCCTCTATTAAAAGAGGTTTTCTCTCTTTTTTTTTTTTTTTTTGAGACAGAGTCTCACTCTGTCACCAGGCTGGAGTGCAGGGGCACGATCTTGGCCTACTGCAACCTCCACCTCCTGGGTTTAAGCGATTCTCCTGCCTCAGCCTCCCGAGTAGCTGGGACTACAGATGCATGCCACCACACCAAGCTAAATTTTGTTTTTTTAGTAGAGATGGAGTTTCCATGCTGGCCAAGATGGTCTTGATCTCTTGACCTTATGATCTGCCCACCTCAGCCTCCTGAAGTGTTTTATTGAAACTTAATTAGGAGATATGATACCTTACCTGGTAAAGACTCGACAATGCAGAATAATTTTGCAGATTATACATCAGAACGTAATCCTGAAATCCAAATCCTACGGGAATGGATACAGCTGTAAAAGTTCCAAAATAAAAGTGACCGTTACATGTGTTGGAACATAGTTTTAGAATAACTTTTCACTGGACACAACTAAATGATGGAGAGTAACTTGACAATGTATTTTAAAAAGCCTTAAACATGGGGAGAGCGATAGACTTAGCCATTCTAATTCCAGGACATGTTCAGGTTTCTTCAGGGATATTTGTGAAGGCCTAAAAATTTACATTAGAAAAATGTTTCTGAAAATATCCAACAATGAGAAACAGAAGGAAAATGATTTAAGGAAGGCATCACTATGCAGCCATTTGGAGCAATGTGGAAGAATATTTAAAGCCATCCATGACTAATGTTAAGGATAACTATAGAAAAAAGGCAGGTTACAGAACAGTTTAGACTGCATGGTCTCAATTATTTTAAATAAATAATATATTCCTTTGTTCAAAGGAAACACAGTATATTGAAAATGATCATCTTTGGTTGATATAATGATGGTTAATTCTTGTTTCCTTCTTTTCTGCTATTCTGTAATTCTGTTTTCCTATAATAAACATGTATTTGTTTATAATTTAAAAAAATAAATGTTAATATCAGTGAGGCTTTATAAGACCAGATGTTCCAAATGTTTATCTGTTCCCCACCTATGAATAACTCCCCAATTCTTCACACCATTTGTATGACACTGCCCCTGTATTGTTTGCATGTGTGAATGTATGTATGTGTTTTGGAATCTCTCAGGCCATGCAGAATTCAGTGGAAAGGTGGCATAAGGGGTCTACAGTTGAAGACTAGAGACATTTCAGGATACATTTGTACAGCTGCCCCTCAGTATCTTAGGGGGACTTTTTCCAGGACTCCTTGAAAATACCAAAATCCAATGCTCAAGTCCCTGATATAAAATGGCACAGTATTTGCATATAACTGACACACATCCTCCTGTCTACTTCAAATCACGTCTATTAAACAGATTACTCATAATACGTAATACAATGTGAATACTACATAAAGAGCTGTTACACTGGATTGGATTTTTACGTGTTTTTTTTATTGTTGCATTGTTATTTGTTATTGATACTGATATTCATATTGCTCTGGGTGTTGATATTCCCAATATTTTCAGTCCACACATGGCTGAATCCACAAATTTGAAGCTGCGGATACAGAGGTCCGATTGTATTATAAGTCTAATATTATGAAAATTTTAATTTCACTCGTTATTTTTCAAATATACAAATATGTTCCATCACACATACTTTTCAAATGTCAATTACTTTGTTTAAAAACTAAGGATAATAATGCGTCCCTAAAAATGCTGATAAGAATGCCCTCCAAAAATATACCAGTACCGCATTAAGTGACTATGGATCTGCGTGACTTTACCGAAGGCCCAAATACCTGTAATTCCCTCTACTGCTCTCATCCATATGTGAATGCATGCATTCATTTAGTCATTCAGTTATTCAATAAACACCTCTGTGTCAGCACAGAAAATACAAAGATGACTAAGCCACGCCTCTCTGCTCAGAAAGCCCCACACTAACAGGGCAGAAAGACACACAAATAGACTACTGTGAAACTACGTGGAAGGCCATGTTCATCAGCATCCTCCTACGGAAGGTTCTTTTCTAAGACATATCCCTTCAGAAAAGAGAATGTTTTGAAACAGTTACTGGCTTTTCTCCTGTACAAGAGACAGAATTGATGGACAGAGAATGGAAAAGTGGCTCCAGATAAATTCACCCACTTCCCATGTTTGCTAACGAAGGTACACCTCGAAGGGTGAACATGACATTGAAGCCAGAAGCAACTGTTCCCGGGGTCTGTGCTGGTAGAGGGGAGTGATGGGGCCAGCATGTTATTCATATGGAGCACAAACCTTAACACCTCCAGATGCTCACTGCAGTTACCTAAGGATGAAGTTGTTGGTTTAAATAGGTTACTTGTAATTGTAGAAAAGCTTTTTGTTTTTAAGGTTTTGGTCTTTGGAGAATGTCAGTGGCTGTACAGAATATCTCTATAGAAGTATCTTCAATCTCAGCCCTCCCCGCCTGGCTGTGACACAGCTTCGTGTCTCGCTTTTTAGAATTACGTCTGAGATGGTGGAAAAAAAAAGTGAAAAGTTGACCAAGCTTTAAGCTACTTCTTTTCTGGAAAAGGGACAGGGTAGGGAAAACAGACTCAGTCTTAGGGAAATTTGTCAAAATATGCACACCTGGGTCCCACTGTGGACTTCCTGAATCAGAATCTTGAGAGGATGAGGGACTCCTTGGAGGCCAACCATGAATACTTTGGGAACGTTTCTCCAGTGACTGATTCACGCGCCCACGCCATGCTCTGATGAGAATGATTGCTCTGGACATGACCCCTGCATACAACTTCACCTAAAAGTCTGTACCCCGAAGACTTAGGCATGACAGGTAATCCTCAATAGTGAGCTGTAAGGGCCAAGGGGATGCATACAAGCGCCTCTTCTCTAGGGTCTTCAAGCTTGGACAAATCTCTTACAGCCCAGGTCCATGAACCCTAAAGCCTAAACAGGCGCCACTGGGGCCAGTGCGGGCAGGAAAAGCTGTTTCAGTTCTGTCGAGGGTCTTTGAAGTGATGGAGGCAGTGAAGAGCCTGAGCAGAGGCCTGGCCAGGGCACGGGGATGCCAGCCTTGGGCGATAGTGTGGAGCCAGCACGGTGGGACTGGGGCCGGGGGTCTTACAAGCCTTAGCCAAGACCTGGATCTAATTTACTTAACTTTGGCCACCAAAAAGATCCAAGCTGGGGAGTAACACAGTTAGACCTGGATTTTAGAAAGATGTCTCCAGCGGCAGTGTGGTAAGAATGAGGCAGGAAATCAAAGAGGAGGCCACTGAAATAGCCAGAGGAGACGTAAGGGTGAGCTGAACTAGCATGAGGATGGTGTTGGCGGTGGAGCTGGAGATAAATGGGCTGATTCAGGAGACTTTCAGGAGGTAAACAAAGACAGCCTGGTGATGGATTCCACATGGGATGCAAGGGAGCAATGAGGGACCAGGGAGCACTCCTGAGTTCGTGGCTTTAGCAAGTGGGTGGCTAATCAGATCCTCTGGCAAGACTGGGGACACAGAAAGGAAGGCCAAGTTCTGATGGGAAAGATGTAAGTTTCACTGGAAATATTGGCTGTGAAGGAATAGAGATGTCCAATCTGAAACTCAGAGGGGAAGTGCGGGCTGGAGATTAAGATACTGAATTCTTTTACATGATAATTCTAGTGCCAGGCGCGGTGGCTTATGCCTGTAATCCCAGCTCTTAGGGAGGCAGAGGCAGGAGGATAGTTTGAGCCCAGGAGTTCAAGACCTGCCTGGGCGATACAGCGAGACCCGTTTCTCCACAAAAAGAAAAGAAAATTCAAGTAGTGGCTCGGGAACAAGAAGCAAAAGGGCCCTAAAATCCTCAAGTAACACCAATCGTTCAAGGAGGGGGCGCAGGCCCTTAGAAGGAAGGGCCAAAAAAGTAAGAGAGAAAATCAGAAAAGTGTGATTTTGAGGTTCAGACTCTAAGCCTGCTGTTTAACCATGCCAAAACACGCATACGACATAGTAAGATCACGGCATCTTTCTACCCAGGACTGTGGTGTAGTGACTTAGCCCAAAATAGAAGTCTTAAAAATGCATCGCGGCTTTTTCTCTACGCAAGTGCGTGTACATTACTTTGTGAAGAGTACTTTGAAACCCACCAATAAGACTGCGAGGGGTGGGCTGTCAGAATTAGTTCTGAGTAAACATAAGAAGGAAAGCCAGCTTGTCAGCATCAGACCAGCGATACCCACCAGAGCCAGCCACTGCCAGGCGTTGTGAGGTCACGGGGCTGAAAGACATTCCTGACTTCAGGGACTCTGAAATCCAACTGGGGACACACAACATGTCCATGGGGAAATCAAAGAACACAAGAGTGCTAAAATGACTAGAGGGACCGGAGGCTGAGGTGGGATGATGGCTGCAGCCCAGGACTTTGACGGTGCAGTGAGCTGTAATAAGGCCAGTGCACTCCTGCCTGGGTGACAGAGTGAGACTCTGCCTCTATAAAAGAAAGAAAGGAAAAGAAAGAGGAAGGGAGGGAGGGAGGGAGGGAAGGGGAGGAGGAAGGAAAGGGGGAAGGTGGAAGGAAGGAAAAGGTAAGGAAGGGAGGAAAGAAGAGAAGAAAGGAGGGAGGGAAGGAGGGAGGGAAGGAGGGAGGGAAGGAGGGAGGGAAGGAAAGAATGACTGGAGGGAAATGAGCCAAGACAGAGGTTTCCTATTGAAGTAGGGATTGTAATTGAAAGCTGGGGCTTAGGGTAGTGGCTCCATTTGCACACAAGGCATGAAGCAATAACATGTAACAAACTTCTACCATGTCACCTTCCAATGCTCATCTTTCATGTTCTGTAACAAAACTGTGGTGGAAAAATTATATTTGTGATGTTAACCCCTTTCCCCCTCATAAACACATATGGCATTTATGACGCTAAACATTAATTTGAGAGGAAGATCCATTATATGTACTCTGTCTTGCAAGTGTTGTCTTTGCTGCTCCTGAGTTTAAGCCCTTGTTATCCATGCCTGGAATACTCTCCAGACTCCTTTGTTTTTACCAATATCCCACCCTAGTTTAAAGGCCCAGCTTCAACTCCAGTAATAAAATATTGCAAAGTGACCTCTGTCTCCGCCGAATCTGCACATCAACACAGTGTGGTTTTGCACCTTACCTGACATGCATTGCTCTCACGGCTCTCGTTTAACCCTCACAGAAGTCACTGTGAGGTGGGAAAGGCAGGATCCATCCCTACTGGGGTAAGTCCATAACGCCGAGCCTCGGAGGTCAGAGGAGTGGCACTGGCTGCCAAATCCTGGAGCTGGTGAGCAGGTGGAACGGTTCTGCAACCCTTTCCCCGGTATCCCGAGAACAGGGCAGCATGGGTACGTCCCTGCTTTTCCGTGTGCAGGTGTGACCTTCCCTTCTGAAACCCCTAGAAGGCAATGATCACGTCTTTTACTTTGTTTCCCTAGAACTTCAGGGATGCTCAGAAGCAAGAAGGAAAGCACTGAATATTTCCTACTTAAACCACCCACTGTATCAACATTCATATCCAAGCAACATCAGGATACACGCAGGTGCACTTGTATGCAATCCTTCTATTGACGTGGGTTCCTTCCTCAAACAGCGTATTATTAATTTCTGAATCTGGAAAAGCAGTATTCAGAGCACTATCAAATTTAAACCTCACTCATTCATATACCTTTGCAAAAACCTAGTTTACAACAAGAAGTCCCTAAATTTTTTCAAAAGCATTCCCCAAAATGAACTACCTTTTTTGGGTGATTTTTTTAAGTCTGTGATTTAGATCCCCTTTTTTTTTTTTTTTTTTTACAAATTATGATAAAGATGCATTAAGTACAACATTAATTCATAAGCCCTAGATATCTAGGCTTATAGGAAGTGTCTGAAGATTCTCACTTGGATATTTAGGGGAAATGAGTTAGTGGTGACAAACCATTTGGGAAGAACGTCTAAATACTCGAGTGAGGATTAAGGAGAAGAAGTCAGGTAGAGTGGCGCATGCTGTGTGTAGTCTCAGCTACTGGGCAGGTCAAGTCGGGAGGATTGCTTCAGCTCAGGAGCTGAGCCCAGCCTGGGGAACGTAGCAAGAACTCATCTCTACTCAAAAACAACAACCAAACAAATCAGACACCAGCTTCCACCGGCTACAAATAATTCATTTGTCTTTGCTACATGATGGCTTCTGCTCTGTGCCTAAAGGAAGAAATGATACTTAATCTTCACTCCTGACTCCTGAGAGGTTTTTTTTTACTCTTTTTTTGTTTTTTTTGGACGGAGTATTGCTCTGTTGCGAGGCTAGAGTGCAGTGGCACAATCTCAGCTCACTGCAACCTCCACCTCCTGGGTTCAAGCGATTCTCCTGCCTCAGCCTCCCGAGTAGCTGGGACTACAGGCGGGCACCACCATGCCCAGCTAATTTTTGTAGTTTTAGTAGAGCTGGAGCTCCACCATGTTGGCCGGATGGTCTCGATCTCTTGACCTTGTGATCTGCCCACCTTGGCCTCCCAAAGTGTTGGGATTACAGGTGTGAGCCACTGCACCCTTCTGGGTTTTCCCCTCTTAATCCTACTTCATAGTAAGAAATTCTGGATTGTACTTTATTGAGACCAGGACAATATTTTTGCTCTGGCTAGCAGGAAGCACATTGATTTACAACTCAAAAAAATTAATAAAGCTTTTTATACTCACAAGAAATCTGTAAGCTTCAAAATTCAGCCTCAGTCAGAGTGAAGTGGTCAGAAGATGCTGCGGAGTAAGGAAGCACTTGCTAGCCAGAAGACAGCCGAGCTTGAGGGCGTGGAAAGAGGGGAGGCCTGGAAGTCCTGACCTGTGACCTCCTGTTTCGTTTATTGTCTTTTCTTTCTTTCTTTCCTTCTTTCTTTCTTTCTTTTTTTTTGAGACAGAGTCTCGCTCTGTCACCCAGACTGGAGTGCAGTGCTGTGATCTTGACTCACTACAACCTCCACCTCCTGGGTTCAAGCGATTCTCCTGCCTCAGTCTCCCAAGTAGCTGGGATTACAGGTGCCCGCCACCACACCCTGATAATTTTCGTATTTTTAGTGGAAACAAGGTTTTACCATGTTGGACAGGTTGGTCTCGAACTCCTGACCTCAAGTGATCCACTTGCTTCAGCCTCCCAAAGTGCTGGGATTACAGGAGTGAGCCACCATGCCCCAGCCCCTTCCATTTATTGTATTCTTAAACATTTCATTTTTTCGATAAGCAGTTTTCTGACTTTAGAATAATATGTGCTTAGTGTAGAAAAATTGGGACACACAGATAACTAAAATTAAGATGCGTATTTTAATAGAAGCGAGACTTTCAAGAAGTATTGATTTGGAAGCCCCTGTTCAATTTACCTGTAAGGTTGTCTCTCCCAGAGGGAACTTGACTTTGTAATCATTCAATTCATCCTGAGCTGCAACCCAACCCCGGTTGTCTGAACCCTGGCGCCACAAGGAACAACTTCATTTTAGAAATTTCCGTCAAATACACCAACTCCAAACACCTCAAGTAAACCAGAGGCTTGGGAAATTTCTGGTATTACATCAATCAACCTGAACAAGACAGGCAGAGATGCTGGCTTTTTTTTTTTTTAAACTAGCTTGAATATTTAGGAGCAGCAGCAAGCAGTTTGTTAGTATTACATTATAGTAGACCTCCCTAGTGAAGCCTTGCAGATAGCCACATTACGGCTACAAAATGAATAACAGTTGGGGAAACTGCCCTAGGAAGATATCAAAAAGGTTATCAAGAAATCAGATTCGTGGACTTGTTCTCAAAGTGTGCAGGACAGGGGGAGAGAAATGAGAACATTAAAATGAAAAATTAGCTGCAGGCAAAATCCCACAGATGCAAAGAGAAGGAGCAGGAGGTTCAGGGGAAGAACTGACAAGCAACCCAAAGGAAACCATGTGGCCAAGATGGGGCGGGCTGGGGGGAGAAAAGAGAGAGAAAATAAATTTTTGTTAGACTTTTATGGAAAGTTGGCATAAACAATAGTCAGCTGTCTTTAGATTTAAGATACGGTTAAAAGGAAACACACTGTGACTGTGGCCATACATACTCCAGGCACTTTGGGAAGACCACCCCCTCGAATGCAGCCCCACAGAGCACTTGACCTTAGTGTCGTGTTTTCCCCACAAATGGGCTGCCCGTTCCGTTCCCCTGCACAAGGTTCAGCTTCTCCTGAGCTGCCTGCGCGGTGGCTTTTCCCACCTCTTAACTTCTCTCCCACCTCGCGCTGCACACATAGATTGAGGGGTGCCATGGAGAAGCACAGCGGCTCCATCACAACCCCAAGAGCAAAGGGCCGGGGTTCCGCAGCACGGCGCTTGCAACAGGAAGGGCTGGAGGCTTCCCGCTCAGCTTCTCATCTTATAACAACTTCTCGACATTTCAAAAGCCAAAGCTTAGTTCCTGTTCCTGGTGTTCTGTGGCTTTGGTTTGTGTTGGGGTTTTTTGATGATAAGGTGGATGCATGGAAGCAAAGAGGACGCAGCAGCTGGGAGCACATTCCCAAAAGCTTTCTTAGTGAGAAGCAGCCCCGCCCACAGCATGCAACCTTTTTGAAATCCTGTTTGAAACCATACAACCAGCCCATTTCTTGCTGAAGATTTCAAAGCTCATAAGGGCCACCTAGAAACAATGACAAGCAGAGGTCCCCTCCGCCAGAAAATGAGGAAATAGTATTAAAGTGGTGTAAATTGTTTAGCTGAGGGCAGGGTCTTGGGCAGAGTCTGTCTTTAAAGCAAAACATGAGAGCACAGCGTTGGAACTGATGAATGCTGTACTGTAAGGGAGGAAGAGAAGCCCATCTTCCCATCAGGGCATGGAAGTGGAGAAGGGCATCAGACAAGCGCTTGTGAAAGAGATGGCGTTTGGTCTAGACCTTGAAATATGGTAAAAATTTAGATATTCAGAGATTAGAAGTGGGGAGAAGGAAGTAGCAATTCGCCAGACATTTAGTCAATGCTACCAAGTCAACATTGCTTCTTTCCAAGTTCTAACAGTGCAACATAAGGAAGCACACATCTTACATAAAATTAATAGTGCCCCCCTTCCCTCTGAAACTTACGTTCTTTAGGACGTAGGACCTACTAGGACAATAAGGACCTACTAGGACAACAATCCTACTAGGACCAAATGAGCTCACTAATACATTTATAATCTTCACTGCACTGTCACATGAAGTAAGCCACCTACTAGAATAAGTTGAGAAACACTTTCACTTTTTTCCCTATTTCCACATTTACCCAATCAGCTTCAGAAAACACAATGGACAGCCTACTATACATGCATACTGCAATTGAACAATCCAGCAAAGGGAGGGCAGGTGCTGAGAGCCGGCTTCTCACGTCGAAGTGAGAAGTTACAGATGAGCAGGAAAGGAGGCTAGAATAATCCGTGTTATGATGCATTAGAGTTGGAGACAGCAGCATGACACTTAGCTTAACAAAAGTACAGGTATGTTTCTGTGCACAGGATAGTATACACACGTATACCTCCTTGCTCTGTCAGCTGAGAAGACCTAAAAGTAAGGTATCCCCAGTAGCAATGCACACATCCAGCACCTAGATGGTGGTTTCTAATACCATTCTCCAATGAAACATACCAGCGTTCTCTGGAGAAACGACTCATTCCAAGACGGGCACAGGAAATATACAAAATGAGCCTATAGCTTCTTATAGTGCTAGAGCTAAGAAGGTGCTCAAAAGCATGTGAGCACACCACAATGATGGGTCTACGTCAAAGATATACAAGAGCCAACTTAAAGAGCTCTCAATGCAAAAGCCGGAAAAGTTTGAGCAATAAAATAAAGTGGTAATAGACTATCACCCAAAGTATAACATAAATATCCACGCATCTATACTGCTAAGAATGACTGAATAAACAAATAAGTGGCAAAGAAGAGACGAATCTTCGGTAGAGAAGAATTCCAATGTGTTTATTTAGATACTCTGCCCTAACGGAAGTGGAGTTTAACTCTGCCCCTTAAGCTGCACATGGTGACTTCCTTCCAAAGGGTACGGTATGGAAAGAGAGGAAAAAAAGAGTAACTTCACAGTGCAGAAACCTGACAACCACTAGCTCCAGCCAGATGATCAAGGTTAACATCAACAGCGGTAATAAGTCATAATGAATAGGATGACTCTTGATATGATGAGAATGGAACTTTATCTCTGCGGCACTCCTCCGCAAAACACATAACTCTGGCCTACTCATGACAAAAGTATAAGTCATACTCAAACTGAGGACACTGTGCAAAATACAAGACACGTAATTCTCAAAACGGTCAAGGACATCAAAAACAAAGAGAGTGTAAGAAATCGTCACAGACCAAGAAAGACTGAGGAGGCATGACAGCTGGTTGTAACATGGCTTCCTGCTTAGTTCCCGGGACAACGGCAACAAAAAATGACAGTAGAGACAAACAGAAAATTTGAATAGAAGGAGAACTTCACAACGATAATGTAACAACACTGGTTCATTAATTGTGACTAAAGAACTGTATTAATGTGAAGTGTTAATTACAAGGGAAATTGGATATAGGGCATATAAGAACTCTCCATACCTTGATAGTAATTCTGGAAATCTAAAAATAAAAGATGTATTTTTAAAATGCAATGGAAATGCTTTCCTCTCAAAAACTCTCTGCAAAATATGCTAACTGCTGAAGTCTCGAAGCAGGTCTTTCTAAAGCACTGGTCCTTCCACCGGTTGGCTAGAGCAAAAGTCAATTGTAAAAGATACCTTCTATTATGCTCACTTGTCTGACTTCTTAGGGGCCATGTGGAGCCCCCAGTCCACCTAATGAAGTTCCCTTCAAATTAAGAGACAAGACATGGAAGGGAAAGAAATGTAGAAATGACAATTTCTGTTTCCAAGCTCTCTGCTCTATTCCAGAGAATCTTAACACTTTCTTAGACTGAATATTGATCCTTTGACATTCAACACAGATGTCCTCTCATGAACTGCCTTCAGATAACACATGAAGGAAAAAAGAGGGGCAAAAGCTGTCTTCTCCAATCCAATTCAGCTTTGTTAGTTACCTGTCTCACTGTTTTATCAACAGTGACAAAGAGTGTGAAGCTGCACTGTGTCGGATGGACCTTCTGGTCACTGAATCACTTAGCTGTTACTAACTTTAAAGGAGGTATTTGGCCAGGAGCAGTGGCTCACGCCTGTAATCCCAGCACTTTGTGAGGCCAAGGCGGGTGGATCACCTGAGATCAGGAGTTCGAGACCAGCCTGGCCGACATGATGAAACTCTGTCCCTGCTAAAAATAATTAGCCGGGCATGGTGGCAGGTGCCTGTAATCCCAGCTACTCCAGAGGCTGGGGCATGAGAAGTGTTGGAACCTGGGAGGCGGAGGTTGCAGTGAGCCGAGATCACACCACTACACTCCAGCTTGGGTGACAGAGCAAGACCTGTACCAAAAAAAAAAAAAAAAAAATCAGTGTAATAATCATGTATACCTCATAGTGTGTGGGACAGGAAAAAAAAAATGCTCAAGCAAGTTAACTTAAAAAAAGGTGTCTTTCAGGGGAAACATACTTTTCCCACTATGTGGTATATTGCACGGTAAAGAATGGCAGGCACTGGCTTAAAACATAGATATAAGGTTACAAAATAATTTCCCAAGATAAATTCTTAAAAGGGAGTCACATGGGCATCAAAAATCACGTTTTGCATGATATCTCCTTTTGTTTCATTGCCATTTTTGGACTGTAAGAATACAGGCACCTTTGGTCTAATGCAATATCTATCTATCCATCCATCCATCCATCCATCCATCTGCCCATCCGCACATGCATATCTGCAAGTTACCATTTATTTATCAGGCCTATGATGACTCAGCTGGTGGCAGACATCTACACAAGTGATGGAGAACCAAAGGCTCTTAGTGCAAAGGTGAGAGTGGAAATGAGATTGAGGGATGACAGTGGTCTGTGGACACATGGAGGGTAAGACAATATAAATGCGAAATTGAAAATACTAGTAATCAATTGTGGTTGTCAATAACGGAGAGCAAGAGTGAGTTCAAATATTATAGCACAACGACAAACAAACAAAAATCACCGCAGTTATGCAAAGTGAGGAGGATTAAAGTAAAATAAACTCAAGGTAATAGAAAATAAAAATAATGCATGGAATTTTACAATAAAGGAAGAGAAACAAGGGAAACGTGAAGGAAAGTGACCTGGGAGGAATTTATCTGATGGAATTTGGGGGCTGAAGTTAAGCAGCCTCTTCAGCCTCTCTTGAGCACAGGTGCCTTGGTTTTTCCTGAAATTCCTATATGGAGCAATGTGCTGTGCAAATATATTAATCACACCTATGATTAGTCATTTGCTTGACAGGAAAGGTCTGGAGCCACTGAGCCTGAAGACGGGAGGTGTCTCTAAACCTAAGAACTCCCACAGTAGGGATAAGATTTTACAGTTAAATGAATTATTAAGGTCAGGTGAATAACTTCTTTTTATTACTCAGTGGTTCTCGATTTCATGGCCACTACCAGGGAAGGAGGCAAGTTTTGAGTACTCTGCTTGACTTTTCTCTAAGGAGGGGGAAAAACCCCACCACTCTAAATACTAAAAATAACTTAAACCACACCATTTCCTTTGGAAAGACAACATGTTTATGAACTGTGACCATTCTCTCCAAGGAATCGGAATCCTGCCTTCCCCCTTCTTCCTAAGTCCCCACGTTTCCTCTGTTCACTAGATCATTCTGAAAGGAACATACAATGACCTTTCCTCGACCACAGCTGCTTTTGGTCCTAAAGTAAAACTCACAATATACTCCCAGCATTCTCGTTCTTCCTAACTTCATGCCTGAAGACGGAAATGTCCGTATGGAGGCAGTTTAGAATATAGAGGAACTTACACAACAAAATATGACTTGTTCTTCAAAGCAGTCACCTTGGGGTCTCCAGACACGTATCCAAAGACACTGTTACTATTCACAACAATCTTTGGAAGTCTGCTTTGGATATTGCTTTTATGAGAAAATCAGCCTCAACTTTATGGCTGAAAAATACTATTTCCTAGCTTCATCATTAATGGGACAGCAAATCCCTTTGGTTTGAAAAAGTCCATTCATTCTCTACGGGCAAAGATTTGCCACAGTCAAGAGACTCAAAAGAATGTATGGCCGGGCGCGGTGGCTCAAGCCTGTAATCCCAGCACTTTGGGAGGCTGAGGCGGGTGGATCACGAGGTCAAGAGATCGAGACCATCCTGGTCAACATGGTGAAACCCCGTCTCTACTAAAAATACAAAAAATCAGCTGGGCATGGTGGCATGTGCCTGTAATCCCAGCTACTCAGGAGGCTGAGGCAGGGGAATTGCCTGAACCCAGGAGGCAGAGGTTGCGGTGAGCCGAGATAGCGCCATTGCACTCCAGCCTGGGTAACATGAGTGAAACTCCGCCTCAAAAAAAAAAAAAAAAAAGAAAAAAAGAAATCTTCATTTTGTTATTTTAACTTGAAAGCTCTAATAATATTATGTAATAACAATGTTATAAAATTATATTAATTGAAGAGAGAAATAAATTGACCTCACCTAAAACATTTTCTCTCAAGTACCGAAAAAATCCACTTAAGACATATAACCAAATGTTATTTAATATCTTAAAAAGTAACACAATCCAAAATGGATATTTCACACAACACTACATAAACAACATGAACACAATATCACCATATGGAGGGACTTTCAAATATAGACTTACAAAAATCCCTGTCCTTTTTTTCTTTTAAGTTATTATACTAAGCATGACAAGTAATCATCATTTACAGTATGGTACACTGACACGATAAAAACCATGTTACAAATGTGCTGTTATAAATCAGTAACATTAGGGAAGACATTTCATGAACTGTAATTATTTCATATGAAATACTATACAATATAAACAGAACATCCATCTTGGATGACCTTTACAGCAACCAGAGACCAAGTAATTTAAAATTTTTTTTTCAGTGCAAACGCATTTTATTCAAGGCAGTCTTGGCTGCAAAACTCCTTTCTAACATACAGTAAAACCCACTTGCACTTTCTTAATTCATTTACCCTAATGCAATAGTCACATTCAGCCACTCAGAGAAAGATACCTGCAGAATTATGATTCCTTTAAACTTGACGTTTAAATTTAATTCTCTTCTAGGACATGGTATCTGTGTCAACTGCTCTAAGGACTTTAATTTGTAGCTGTTGATACTTCCATGAAGGTGACCCTAGGGCAGCTCTATTCCTAACCCAGCAAGTGTGCAAGATACTGCACAGTGTTCTGCCCTTCCAATGTGGAAACCGTGGCGGTATGTCAGTATCTAGGTGGGAGAACGGAAAGGAGTACCTCGGAGGAAAGGAAGCGGAGGAGCTGCTGCATGTGTACTTCATGATTAATTTCCCGGAACCACAGAGGACAGATATTAGAGATCTCAGGTCTCACATTTGGTACCTCTTCTTGGTGGGAGCAAGGGAACCGTTTTACTAAGTTCAGCCTTGGAACAAGGAGGCAGGCAACTGTACATGGACCAGCCAAGCTTCTAACCTTACATTTCCAACCTTCCAGAATCATCGTTGCCCGACTTGAAATACCCCATTCCCTCCTTGGCATGGTGTGTGTGTGTGTGTGTGTGTGTGTGTGTGTGTGTGTCTGTTCACATTTGAAGCCAACAATTAACAATTAAAGCCCTATAACTGATCATGTACAATCATAAAAAGCAAGTTTAGGTCCCCCTTGAATCTGGTAGAATTCTGAATCTTGCGAATCATCAACCGTAAGTCATAGAACAACGGTAAAAACACAGGATTGTGTGTTGGGGGAGCCACCACTGGGAATCTCTTTGTGGGCCGCTGCTGCAAAAGATGCAGAGTATTAACTCAATAGGAAGGTGCCAATGTCTGTCTGAAACACACAAGGAAATTTAATAATGAATGTTTTCATAGACGTAATTTATGAAACATTTCCCGAATAAAAATCTGTGGGAAACTATTGGATGTATTCTTAATACCACAGACCTTCTGGGAGAGGAAGGGGGTGATGGCTGATTCTTTTATCTTACTTGGCAAAGCTCAGACGGACATAATCTCTTTCCTGCCCACATTTTACTAACCCAAAGCAAAACAATGTTTTCGATGGCTTTTGCATTCATGTTTCCTGTGTTCTAGCTCCCCCAAGCCCTAAACATGTGCAGAAAAGTCACTCACTACCAGAAGAGCCCTGGATGACATTGACAATGGGCAGGATGGTCCTGGGGGCGAGGGGGAAAGGAGAGGTCGCTCCTGCTTGGGCCCACCGAGGTTGATAGCACACGGCTAGTTGGTTCTGCGACTGGCCTGTGGTGATGGAGCAGATCCCCGTCAAATATCATCTACCTCCTAATTCAAGAAAATACTTAGAACTGGATCAGCTCCCTCAGAAATCCAGCTCCTCCAAAGCAGGACTCGATATATTGTACTGAATTTCTAGGGTGCTAAGGAGCACTGTGATGAGTACTTGATAAAGTTTTTAATTAAAATTTCTGTGTCAGCACCTTCCGCTGCCAGGAGCAGTCATGTTCCTGAAAGATGGTATTTTAGCACGGGAACTATAGAAGCCCAATACGAAACTGTAAACAAGGCTGGATGTCCAGATCTGCTCCTGACTGTGATGGCATTGGGTGGACCTGTCAATCTCCCGCTTCATCCATCGATACCAGTAAGGTGTGCTGAGGTGTAAAATTCCAAACACCCTGAACTTTTTTTTTTTTTAATGAAAATGGACAAAAGTGTCAAGTTGTATTTGTTTTCTTTGACTTTATTAGCACACATCAGAAAAATAGCATTGTATTTAGTGATTTCTCATGATGGTCTATCAAACAGATAGAAAATAGATCATCAATAGCTGCCACTGTGTTTCTGGGTAGTCTTAAGTCACTCCTTTTGTTTGTTCAAGTACGCGTATTATGAAGATGACCTGTCTTGTTAATCGTTTGCGAATCTGAATGCTTTGGAAGCATTCTGAGATCCCAAAGTGAATCGTGCAAAGTCATTATCGATTGTTGTTGGTTTTTAAATCAAGCTCCAAATACTGCCCATGTTATAAACGGTGAGACTTTCAAAAAACGATCACTATCGTATTGTGAGCAATATGTTTGTAATTTAAGTTAAAAACTTTACTTTCAAGTACACTTGGTGGTGATAAGTGCTTTGTCCTGGGTAGAATTTTGCAAAGCTGCGCCAACCTAAAAAAGGAACAATGCTTCTGCTTCCACTGAACAGGTTTCTTCTCCCCATGGTGACTGCAATATAATTTAAATTTACATTTTAGAAATGCTGGTTAGGTTATGAAAAAGAGGGACCTGGGAACAGCTGCTGTTCAGATCATTGTTGCTCTAGATTAACTTTGAATTGCCGCTTCCTGAACTTGACCTTCACGACGTCAGAGAAGCAGTCATTTGTTATTTTTATCTAGCTAGTTTCCATTCACCTCTTCTATTTGTTTTCTCTATTTGATGGCATCCCCGCTTTCATATGCTCATTATGGCCCCCTGAGATGTGCAAAATGTATATAATGGAATACAAATCATTTAACAGAAGTTGTGGCATTCACAGCACAGCTCTTTTAATTACAGTGGAGTTTGGGCTCCACATGGTAGCATGCGGGTGAAGGCAGAGCCCACAGTGCTTCAAGGTTGGCAGTCCACATTGCTTGTGTGTCTTCTGTTACCGAAAACTGAGACTTCAAACCAGATTTCCAAAGAAGTAAATAGCTCGCTCAATTACGTTCACCCATTGGCTCTTCGCCAGAGAACTTTTAACAGGAATGGGTGGGGGGTGGGGGTGGGCACAAGAATTTTTAAACTTCGGTTCATTCCTAACAAAATCGAGTGCGCTTTCGCGGGGAAGAGAGGAGAAGACAGGATTACATCTGAAAGCCAAATAATGGCGTAAGAGAAAGCCATGGCGATGGAGAAGTCATGAGTCCACAGAGGCAATCACCGACACACACAGAATGCCATGGCCTAATGTTGAAGGAAGTGTTCAACTTTGCTCTTCGGAATGATACACTTTAACACACGGCTGCCATTTCATCAAATTTATGGAGGTAGTTATATGTAAAAATAAAAATTACCATAAAGTAATATGTCGTATCATAATAATACATAAGTGTGCAAAATGCCGACAGATGTGTTGACCCTTTCACAGAGATTCAACCAGATTGTTTTGTAAACCTTTCAGTTGCTAAACCCTAAGACTGGACAAGCAGTCGTGTAACACAAAGCTATGGTTTCATCGGAGGAAAAGCGTACGGGCAACGCCGGGTGAGGACCCCACCGTCCGGACTGAGAGCCTCACTGGGACCTCGGATGACATGTGTAATGTGACGCCGGCTGCCACTCTTCCCCCATTCAAGAGTCTCGATCAGATTCAGACAAGAATACTTTTATATGCAACATCTGCTTACATGGTATCATCTTTCAAGTCCATCATTTCTACTACACAAATGGCTGCTGGTCTAAGGGAGTTTTTAAAAAGCCATGTACCCCATAGCATCAGGCAAACAGTGTACATATTTATTTGAATAATGTCTTCTGTAAACCTATATCTCGTGAAATATCAATAAATTCCTATTTTAAAGCTTCTCTTAAAGGTAATGTTTCCTTTCCTGTTCACACAGCATTCGATTATTTCAATGGCTACTTTCAGAGGATCAACTAGAGGCTGATGTATTGTTTCAATGGTTCTATTATTTACGAACTAATAGTAGAAGAAAAATTTGAGAGCAAGTTTTTGGAAAAAATGAATTTAGACAAAGATTTAGTAACTGTATGATATATAACTCCCCAAGGGAACAGGCTATGTAGTCTATTAGACACACGATCATTCCTTCTGGACATAGTTAAGCCAGGAGACAAACAATGCGTCAAGGCATGCCTTGGAGGAAATACGGCGTGAGACTGAAAGCCAAGAGGCTTAAGCATGTCAATGGTATGGGAGTTTACTACGAAACATGCTGAAGTTTCACTGCCATAAGCACAAAAAAGGAATTTATACCAAACTCAGGGAGTCCAGTTTGACCCAATGCAACTTCCAAATAACTGAAAAACTATGAGGGAGTATTCAGAGGTTTCAAGAATGAGTCTAACTGTGTATAGGACTGGATTATTTAAACAGATTGCTAGTGATTAAACCTAATACAAAAATGATGTGTCTCACAAATCATATGCCAATTACTGAAATCGGAGGTGAAAATATTCTGGATTTGGGTATATATATACATGTATTTTATGGTGTATAGCTCCCAACAGCACATGCCACTAAACAAAATAAAACTTTATGTCAGACACTTTCTTGTGTCATATGTAACCCTTTTGTAAATAATATTCCATTACTGCAGATCTGTTCCACTGTTCTCAGAAAATAAAACATGGGAACGTTGGAATGTCTCTTTGCTATAAGATCAAATTATTGGCAATCCCTTTGCTGCTGGGTCTTCTTTGTGTGTAACATGACATCGTAAACCAAAGCAAAACGTTAACGAATCATTTTGAAATAAGTTGGGCTAATTAACTACACATCCACCTAAAATTGCCTCCTGAAATTGGTTACAAAGTATCTGTAAACATTACTCTGGCATAGTTCATGTATGCATAATTGTTTTTCTGATAAATTTTAGGGGAGTACAAATTAGGATTATACCACACTAGCAGAATGAGCACATTCTGTTGTTCATTACATGGGCACATGTAGATTTCTAATCAAAAATTATTTTAAAAGTTTTCTCTATAGATATCTTCCCAGGAATAAAAGGCCTGAAGTTCAACTCTCCCTAAATTTGCTCTTTCCTATAACCACTAAAAATTATCTCCCACAGCCTAATTTAGGCATTCTATTTAAAACTACATAAAATAGATTTATGTCCTTCCATTAGAAAGAATAACATCCTCAGGCCATACTCTTCATTTGTATCACAAAGAACATTTTGCTTTTAAACAAACTAATTATTGTACCTATTAGAGTAAGGTAGGGTCATCCTAAGTATCACAAGGAGGAAATTCTCTTCCTTCAATATTTGAGTAATACCTTTTACAAGTCCACGCCACCTCTCCCAACACCTAGTGCTGTGCCCCCGCCAGACTGGAAATTCCTTTCCTTTGTCCACTTCAGATTCAAAGGCCTATATTCCTGTTTGTGATCATGGAAGGTTAAAAATCAGACAAGCATCTGTTACACTTGAAAACAAAATCCTGAAAAGAGACACTCCCAGCGATTTCCATGGCGACCCCTTCTCACACACTTCCATGGGCTCCTGCAAAATAGTGTCACAAAAACTCACAGTGAAAAATGACTGGTGCATAAACGATTCACACACAAAGGGCTGGGGTCCCTCCTAGTCAGTTTGGCATCTATTTCCCTCAAGGTGGACCCTTGCATTTGACATTTCATGGTGGCTTCATTTTTTTTTTTTTGGAAGTGTCAAGGATCAGTTCTGTGGCACCGTTTAACCACAGACTGGGAGCAACACGCATCTGTGGCATTTTAAAATGGAATTGGCAAATGCATGACATTGAAAATGCATATTACACTTACAGTGTCTAGACTTTCCTATGTGTGCTCAGATACAATTAGTGAAGCAAAAGTATACATATCACCCCTACTGTTACTCAGTTGCTACAGAGCCATAAATGTGAAAAGCAATACTCTGAAATAAAGATTTTTTGTTTTTTCTTTGCCCTAGCCCTACTTAGCAGCACAGTTTAAGTCAACACAAAAACTGTGTGGTTGAGATGCTTGTCTTTCCAAAGATGTAAACATCAGTCCCAGTGTCGTAAACTTTGCTGTATCGAACGAGACAGAAGATCTGAGGCAGAAGGACTATCACACACTAGTAACAGAAGCTTGCAAGCAGTTAGAAGGTTTCTGTAGTTTCTCAGCTTCATTTGTCGGGGGGTCCGTGCTTGCTCGGAAGTTGAAGGCTGGACCAGCTCCACCGTGGGCCGGGCTCAACGCGGGGTTCTGACGACGGTTACTTTCAACAATGCTTGACGTGTTGGAAGCCAGGCTCTCCCGAGTACTAAAAGAGTAAAAAGGGTTTGTTTTGTTTGTTTTGTTTGGAATATAAATAATCATAAGTTGAGCCCCAGAGGAAGAGCAAATGATGTCGTTAATGGATTTCCTCTGTTGGTTCATAATGTCATATCAATATACATCTCCACTGATTATTCACATCTGCTTCTCCACCATGGGCTCCAGAAGCTTCCACAGACACGTAATAATCAGCAGCACATTCGGTGAATAAAGGGTTTTTAAACAGCTAAATGCACTTTGAAATGTCTTCTTCTTTTCACCCGTGAGGAGCGACTTCAAATTTTGAGGTGATAGCTAGCTATCGCAGTAGTTTTTAAAATGGATACTCATAAATACACCTAAGTCATTATTTCATTTCGGGCTGGAAATTCATTGGCGTAACCACTCCAGAATACACTCGGTAATTTTACTCCAATGATTCCATTTTCATTATGGATTAGCAGATTTCAACTTTGGGGGACTCTGGGCATGCCCCTTTTGGGAGACCCTGAGCATTTGCCACACAGATAGGAATAAAATTCATTTTAAATGTTTTATTCCACTGTTTCCAATTTTAACGCTTTAGTTAAAATACATTATATTTTCGATAAAGGACCTTAGATTTTCTTCCCCATTCATCTTTTAAGTTTACATTCATTTCTATCCCACTTTGGCAGGATTGTTTTTGTTTTAGGGTTTCTTTTTGGGGGGGGGACAAGGTCTTGCTCTGTCCCCCAGGCTGGAGCACAGTGGTGCGATCTCAGCTCACTGCAACCTCTGCCTCCCAGGCTCCAGGGATCCACCTACTTCAGTCTCCCGAGTAGCTGGGACCAGAGATGTGTGCCACCACACCTGGCTAATTTTCGTGTTTTTAGTAGGGACCGGGTTTCGCCATGTTGCCCAGGCTGGTCTCGAACTCCTGAGCGTAAGCAATCCGCCTGCCATGGTCTCCCAAAATGTTGGGATTATAGGTGAAATATTTTCTTTTTAAAATAATTCTTGTAGGACAGAGGTGATTGCTTTCTCTTTTCCTTTTTCTAAGTTAGAAACATTTGAATCTATTTCATTGCTTTAAGAGATTTAGACTATGTAAGGTTTCAAATGCATAGGGCAATGGCAGAAATAAGATGACTGGGCCAGATTGAGAAGAACCGAGTAGGTTTCCTGCTGCAGGGCCTCAACGTGGCTATAGAAATGTATCAACTACAGAGACTGAGCAAGCCAGAAGCATTCTCAAAACATCCACTCCATGAGGCAGAGTCAACGCTTAGGGAATATTCTCTGAGAGTTGGTCCCCACAACTGACTTAAGCCAGTTTAGTGCCAGTTAGCAGGTCAAACTTCTACAGTGGAGATGTCCTCTCCTCTCCTGCATTTCCATCCCAAGCTGACAGCAACTCTGTCTGAATCCTCTACTCTGCTAGCCCTTTCCAACAGGTTATTTAAGCCTAACTCCCTGTGGCTTGGAGTTTGCTTCTCACCAAGAAGCCAAGGCAGTTTGTCCACTGACAACCAAATAAAAAACCCTGGGACTTTCCTGAATGCAGAGGGTACCTCCAGAAAGGTCACTCATTTACAGAGAGAAGTCAACTTTTTCATTATGCTTATGGCAAATCTGGGCATTCCCAAAGGACACTCCAAAAAGTCATCGCTGAAAGGGAAAGTGCGACTTACCTACATGACATCTCTGCCAGGAAAATTCACAAGTGGTTTGCCAGAGCTACCACTGAGGCATGGGGCAGGTGCAGGAGGGAGGAGGGGCAGGGGATTTCAAGGCACATTCCTTCAGTGTCTTTCTTAATCACTTGGGTAACTTTTTAAGTATCTGACTTCCTCAATTCTAAAATATGGAGAGTTATGATGGAATTTACCTACTCATAGGGTGACTCTGAAGAAGAAATAACCATCAAGGAAGAATTTGTGCACTAATAAGGTAGAAACGTGAATTATTTCTGTTATACATCTAGCATATAATGAAATAAAGTGACTATGGGTTGGCTTCAGAATCCATGTATTACAAATGACATATTTTCTAGGGGAAAATACATTTAAAGTCCAAATGATTCACTCTTAAACCAGCTTTCAAGGAGTGGGCTCAACATCTGTTGAGTGCCTGCTGTATGCCAGGCACCGGAAACACATATGCAACAGATCATCGAGCTGGGGTCTGTCTCTACTGCAGGAGACCTTCACCCACCTCCAATCACAGCCACCTTCAATCACAGTATTAATCGTGGTAAAAATGTACAGTACTCCAACTTCTCCAAAGAATGTATTTCATTATTGCTGTAATCATGATTACAGTCTGTGACATTCATACTGAGGGCTCCGGATATGCTGATGAACAAGTTAAAGGAGATGGAATGTTAGCAGTAAAAATATTCCTCAAATTTAAAAGTTTTTTTTTTAAGGGAGCTAATGGAGTACAACCTTAAAAATAGGATTTCAGGATTTTCTAGGCAGGAGAAATTAACCAAGCAACTCTGTTGTTCACCCTTGGTGCGCAGGTGCCCCCGGCCCCAGGCCTCTCCTGCACACGTTCACGCAATACGTTAAACAGATACACCCCGGGCAGCCTTTGGCCTCTGATTTTCACATTGTGTTTATCAACCAGCTTCAGGCCTCACGTTTGGAATAGCGGGCTTTTCATGTCAAGACTTTCCATTTTCAATATTAGATCTCATAGCATAGCTCAAGTTTCTACCCTTTTTCCTTCTAAATACCTTTTTATTCCCAACAAAAGAGAGTAAAGAATTTTGGAAACGCGGCTGAACATGACTTTTGAGCCAACATTGAAACTCTGGAGTGTGGAGAAAAATCACCTTTTGGGGTCTTTTTTTTTTTTTTTCTTTTTGGTTGGGGCTTAGTGCTCAGTGAATTATTTACTGAAAGATTCTAATAAACGGCTTGCTTCCTTCATTTTCATGTCAGGGCTCGGCATGGTGGCTCATGCCTATAATTCTAGCACTTTGGGAGGCCAAGGCAGAAGGATCTACAAAAAACTTTTTTTTTAAATTACCAGGCATGGTGTCACATGCCTGTAGTCCCAGCTACTCAGAAGGCTGAAGTGGGAGAACTGCTTGAACCCAGGAGTTTCAGGCTATAGTGAGCCACAATCACCACTGCACTCCAGCCTGGGCAACAGAGTAAGACCCTGTCTCTAAAAAAAAAAAAAAAAAAAAATTTCCATGTCTCACAGCAATGGGTATGAGCATGATAATGCTATCTGGCTAAAATACTCCTCAGGCTGGAGTGTAAAGTCTCTAGAAGTCAAATACTTACCTCTGCAGAACATACTCCTGGATCAGCAAGATAACTCAGTGACTTTATTAAGGTGTGTAGAAAATAGTTTGTCACCTCGCTTCTAATCGAAGGACGGTAAATACAAAAGGGGTAAAATTAGCAATTGTTCTGTAGATTCTCTAACTGCATAAAATGTATGGGCGATACACGTTTTCACGTAGAGAAAATCTGACCTGATATTAGTGGGCAGACGGGTGGCTATTGAGTGAAGGCTGTCTCTTTAGAACAACCTTTACCTTCGGCCATGACAAAGTATTTGACTTTATGCACATAATGAAACAACTGAAGACCAACTTACTTCAAGAAACAACCCAGTCATAAATTCTATATTCTGCACCCTAAATTTCGAGATAGTAAAATATATTCTGTAGAGATCCTGATTCAACCATTTCAGGAATATTTCTGTTTGTCTTCGAACAAACAAACAAGAAACTGTCAACGTTATGCAGTTGAAGGTTTTCTAGTTAGAGCTCACTGAGCTACTCCCAATGTCTCCTTAGGAACTCTCCTTAGCATGGCAGCTTCCTGTCTGTGGAAGCCCAGGGGCCCAGAGGGAAAGGAGAAAGGTTTAAAACGAGCATGTGAAAGGCAGGTAGGAGGCAGAGGCTACATAATGAGAAACGGCAGGACAGAAAGACACAGCCAAATACACCACAGCTTCCACCAGCGATGGTTCTGAATTTCCACCACAGATGACAGACCTTCTGTTTTGCTAATCTGGTAACCACTGCTAAAAACTCAAGAGGAAAAAAAGAGTAGAACAGGAAAATGAAGAATAAAAGGATAATTAGAATAAATTAGAAAATAAATTAATATCTGATTTGGAATTTAAAAAATTATTAAGCAAAAATGATTTCTTAGAAAAGCCACTCAGTAGACTAGCGGTTTTCAGGCTGAGGCCCAGGACTCCCTGAGGTCTCATAGGCTCCTGGAGGGATGAGGAGAGGGACTGGAACCCACAGTCTCCACTGTCACCAGGACCACCTCTCAGCTCTGGGCAAACATTAGGCTTCCACACACGTGTTAACTTGGAAGAAAGGCTCCATGATCAAAATAATAATAATAGCAATAATAATGAACCAGCCCTTTAATAAATCACAAAGGCCTAATATGGGACAGACCAACTAAGGATTCCCAGTTCCAGGTATGTGACGCTCACTTCCAAAATTATCCAGAGATATAGTGAAATGATCACAACAGAATTAATTTTAATTCCTAATACTGAAAATTAATATATGAAATGCATAATCCTATCTGAATAGGTGTTAAAATTATAAGTATTGTAAAATCTTGGGAATCGCAGCTGATGAGAAATGTCAATCTCTCAGGAGTATTTCTGCATCTCAGAGTCACCAATCTGGAGTAGAATGTAGAAGGAGAATTAGGTCCCATGTTGCTCTCTGAGGAGAAGAAAGAGTTAAGGAGAAAAGAGGAAGTTGCACAGACTCTCGTTTGCCTTCTGAATCCCTGAGCAGCTCTAGAGCTTTGGCCGTGACCGCTGGGCACCACTAACTCAACTGTCAACGCTTTGCTGAACTACGAACACCTACTAACAAGAAGGAACTATCGTTAGACTAGCCAAATGGGTGCCGTCGATTCTGCAGGAGGAGAAAGAAAAGTCCTGGCACATGCTTTCATCTCACAGGGCACAGGCCCCTGCCCTGGCTGTGAGGGAAGAAAGATTCCATTTCTCTGCAGTGAAAGGGAGGTGTGTGAGCCAGGGGAGCAGGCTGCACAGAACCCTGGGATCCAAATACGAGCTTCTAGATCCACTGGAGAGGTTTTGAGATCCATCCTTACACTTTCACTAGAGGGACCCCCACCCTAGCATCAATCAATCTCCTTCCAACCCCTAGCTTCCTCCCCCAGCCCCAGACTATTCTTTCTACTCAAGAAGTTACTACTTTTGAAGGACTTAAAAAACACCCTTCCCTTAGCGTGGTGGCAATATGAACACAGCAGAAAAAACACTGGAAATGTTGGTTTTAGTGAGATCGAACTGATGCAAGTTTGAGGGGAGGAGCCAACCCACCAGTCCAGATTGGTGATCTCTACAGGTGCAGAAACTTTTTTTTCAATTCCTGAAAAAGAAGTCAGAAACAGATTGTTAACAATACAACTCATACAACTCTTAATCCTCATCCACAGAACTGAGACTATGAAATCAGAAGCTTGTCAAGTTATGTGCATAAAGCCCCAGGCCCCGATAGGTGTATGTGTGTGCAAAGAGACACCTCTCCCTACCGTGGGGAGTTGAATCCACTGTCCACTGTGATGCTGCTGCTGTCCATGCTGTCGAGCCGGGCTGAATGGGTGGCTCTCTGGCTGCTGCTGCTGTCGGTCTCTTTTGGGGCAAGAAGGGTGAGGTTCTTTTCAAATTTCCTCTGCAAGTCTCTTTCCTTCTCCCTCTCCAGGAGCCACTGCATGGTGCCCACGTCCTCTCTATTTTTCTCCTCCTCCGTGTTCTTGTTTGCCCCTTCCTCAGAGTCATCATCATCAGAGACGTTGTAATAGTCGAAAGAGGCTTCCTGGTTCCCTCCTGACTCCTGCTGACGTTGGGAAGCTGGCATGGCTTGTGCCACTGAGGTCCCCAGGGACGGTTCCAGTTTCTCGCATCGGCCTGGCAGTGTGTCAGCAGGTGTCTTCGGGTGAGATTTGAGGAGGGACAGGCTCGATTTGTGATAGCTGTTTACAGACAAGGTGCTGTGAAGAGGTTTAAACAGTGTGTCTTTGCTAAATATCTCTTTCCTCTTGTCCAAGCTGCTGGGCTCGGCACCATGGTGCTGGACAAGGCGTCCATTGGCGATCCCCTCAGCCGCTCCTCCTGAGGCAGCTGGGCCACCACCCGGCCCTTTGGGTGACTCCTCCTTGTGCCCTACAGGCTCCCTGGAGGAGTGGGGGACCTGCCTATCAGATGGGGAGAGCTTTTTCACCCCTTCTGCCAAAGTCAGAGTGTCATGGTCCTCCTTATTCTTTCCCAGAGGTGATGGTGCCGTGAGCACCGTCTCACTGGAGGTGTTGCACTGGAAATAGTCATCTGTGGAGGTTTTTGCTGGACAAGAGTTGAGTTCGCCATAGGATGGCAAACTCTCAGGTGCTTTGCCTGGCTCCAAAAGGCTACACGCGCTGGACGGTTCCTTGCTGCCACCAACTATTTCTGGAATACACACCTCTTTATAGCTTGTGGACGAAATGTGAGCCCTTTGGTGACCAACAGTCTGTGCAGGCCTTAAAGTACTGTCGTCGATGTAGGATTGGCTGGGGGTCTGGTCATCTTGGCTACAGCCTTCAGCAAGGTCTTCAGGCGTCCCTAGAGAAGAAGCACCCAGAGGGCCTTTGGAGTTGTCCATCGATCTGGATCTCTCCTTGGCTTTGTTGGATCTCTCATTCCTGGACCTCCGGTCCTGGGTATGGCTGTGGCTTCGGTGCACTTTTGAGTGGGAGCTTCCCCTAGAAGGTTCAGGAAAAGGCATCTCAGTTCTCCTTTTGGCCAGTTCACCAGACACATCCCATTCTGGTGTCATGGGGAAGTGGGACTCAATCACGTTTGTGTTGCTGTGCATGATGAAGTTATCTCCTGCGTGCTCCATGATGAAACAGCCCTCCCTGGGCACCCTGGTCAGAGGATCACAAAAGTCATACTCTCTTTCACCGGGGATATCCAGATGCGAGCCGTCGGAGGGGTCTCCTTTGGACACTCGTGTCTTGCTGTGAGACCGAGACTTTCCGTGGGACTTTCGATGAGTCCTACTCTTTTTACTCCTTCCGCTGTGATGGGCAGAGGACCCAGCTTTACTCCTCTGGGCCTTTTCTTCTTCAAGCTTCTTCATGAGCGCAGTGTGCCGCATGACGTTTTCCACGGTCAGGTCTGGGTTGATGCGCCTGATGATCTCCATTTCTACCTCCCGAGGGATCGTGGCTGGCGTGTCCTCGTCTCGCAGGGGCCACTCTTCCGGAGGAAACTGGGCAGAAAAATTGGCCAGCTGTTTGGTCTTGTCTTTTTTAAAACTTAGCCGGAATAACTTCAGCCCGAATTTTTTTGACTGCTTTTCACTATCTTTAGGTTTTGAGAGAGTTTCCGTCTTGTAGGAAAAATTTACAGTACTTTTGCTCTTTTCAGTGGGTGGCACCTGGCACAGAGAAGGGGGGCAGTAAGGGTCTTTGCAGTCCTTGGCAGGCTTCCTCTGCAGGGTGGACGCATGCATGCTGTGCATGTCTTCTCTGCAGCAGTGGCAAGAGTCGCAGTGGTTTCGGGGCAATGTTCTTTCCCTGACGCAGCCTGAGGCAGAGGGCGTGATGGTTCCGGGCTGCGGAGAGGTGCACTGGGACCGGTCAGGTATCCTCTCATCCAGATGGTACCATTTACTGTTAGTTCTTATGAGGGAAGGAGTTATGAAGTAAGTCTGTGGGGTCACGATAAAGTAGCCATCTGGAGTTGGGTAGATTTTCCTCTCCCGAACCAGCGTGTTCAGCGTGTGCCGCAGAATTTCTTGGCTTGGGGTTGGAACACCTGAAAAAAAAATCCACTTGTGAGAATGAAGAGAGAACATGTCAATTTCTGACTTCCAGAAGCCTATTCATTCTGCCAAGATGCGAAGTCCCATCGCATGGGTAGGATGCACAATTCAGACAAAGGCGTTCATTAAGTTCGGTGCAAATCCTGGTTTGCTTGGGTAAGTCCTAAATTACTACCCACGGAATGAGCAGACATAAAAGCAGATATAAAAGACAGAGATGGAAGTAGTTGAAGTCAGATTGCTACTGTTGTCATAAAGCCTTTCCCGAACTAAACAGGAAAGACAGAACATTTAAATGAGAGAACAATGAAAAATGTTTTCCATGATATGATACAAATGTACAGAAAAGGCTTTGCAGTAAAAGCAGCTAGATAAGCAGGGTGAAAATATCTGCCGTGATATTAAAAACACATCTAAAATATACAGCGGCCACCACAGAAGGGTTACTGTATGTGCTCATTTTCACAGATTTTACTTAATAAACTTAATTTTGTAAATTACACAAAGGACTACGAGACTTGACTACTGTCTAGGATGAACCCTCTAATTCTGGAGTCACTGCCTTCCATTTTGAAACCAACTAGAGCACAGATAACATCCAAGTGACAATGTCCTTTTTGGCGTCAGTCAGCAAGACGAAGGTGGTTTTTCTAATTTCTAACCAAGGAACCCTAATAAATATACAAGCGAAGGCTCTGACACTCTATCTCTGTTTGTCCAAAAGTCCCATATTGGCTAGAATAGAAACACCAGATAAAAATGATGAACGCTTCTTTGTATGAATGATCCATGTTTTCAAAGGGTTTTCGTGCATGTTTATGCAGAATTAAGAGTACAAATTCTTAAAGAGAGTTTAACTTCTCCAGGCTCCAGCCCATTTACTTTATTTCTTGGGTATTCTCCATTTCTCAGTGCCAGGCACATAAAAGACGATCACACTTGTAAGACGGATCTGAATGATATCATTGGGAATTCGGTCAGGTTGAATCATATGAAACTGCCAATATTTAACCACTCGACTCACAGACATGGCAGTTGCATGCAGTTCAGCCTAACACGAATAAGGCAGTGTAATGTGGAGACTAAAGGCTGGGGCCAGGTTGCTGATTGAAACCCTGCCCTGTCATCGTTAGCTGGTGTCACTGGTTGAATTACCCGCTCCCCACCCCAATTTGTATGTTGAAATCCTAACCCCTAGTACCCCTCTTAAATATGACCTTAAGTGGAGAAGGGGTCTTTAGGGTGACATGAGGTCTTGAGGGCGGTCTCTAATCTAATATGACTGATGTCCTTCTGAAAAGGGGAATGCTGGAGACAGAAAGGCACAGAGGGAAGACAGTGTGAGGAGACACAGAGAAGGTGCCATCGTAGGCCGAGGACAGGGGCCTCACAGCTCTCAGAAGCACAACCAATCCTGCCGACACCTTGATTCTGGACTCCTGGCCTCCAGAACTGCAGGATACAGTTGGTTGTTTGAGCCACCTGCACTGTGTTACAGCCGCTCCCAGCAAACGAAGATAGCTGGCACTACCTGAGGCCACCGAGCCTCTCTGAGTCCCTGTTTACTGTCGTCAAAAGGTAGGTAACAACAGTACCTGTAGTCACAGGGCTGAGGTGAAAGTTTAGTGTGTGTGGAGCAGTGCCTGGCACACAGAAAGTGCTCAGTAAATAGTAGCTGGGAGTTAGCCTCCACTCTGGGTCGGGACCCAGAAAACCAGATTGCCTTCAAAGAACAATGTGCCACAACCTAGAACACCTGGGTGAGCTGAGACGTTTCAACTCCCCAAGTCCTTCCAAAGTAGGAAATAAAGGTATTAGAAATGGCCTGTGGCACTTTGGGAGGCCTGGGGAAGGCTGATTTCAAGGTCAAGAGTTTGAGACCAGCATGGTGAAACCCATTTCTACTAAAAATACAAAAACTTAGCTGGGCATGGTGGCATGTGCCTATAATCCCAGCTACTCGGGAGGCTGAGGCAGGAGAATCGCTTGAACCAGGGACGTGGAGGTTGCAGTAGCCAAGATCATGCCACTGCACTCAGCCTGGCGACAGAGTGAGACTCCATCTCAAAAGAAAGAAAGAAAGAAAGAAAGAGATGAATAGATATAGAGAGAGAGACAGAGAGAAAGAGAGAGAGAGAAAGAGAAAGAAAGAAGGAAAGAAAGAAAGAAAAAAAGAGAGAGAGAAAGGAAGGAAGGGAGGGAGGGAGGGAGCCTGGAATTTTCAAGGGGGAAAAATCCATGAATGTAAGGTAACATACACACTTATTTGCGTTACCATTTTCAGAAGGCATCCTTAGTGATCAAAGCAGAAAAGGTAGCATAATTCATAATGTATTGTTTATAATTACTTAATTTTTGAGTCTCATAGTTTCTTTTTAGTCTAATGTTTTACTTCTGGTAAGAGAACATTAGTTTTTATACAAATGATTTTAAGACCAATAATAACAAAATTTGTTTTTTAATTTTATAATACTTTCTGTATAAAATAGAAATGAATATTTTTTTTTTTTTTTTTTTGAGACAGGGTCTCACCCTTGCATTGTCTGGCGTGCACTGACAAGATCTCAGCTCACTGCAACCTTGACTTCCCAGGCTCAGGTGATCCTCCCACCTCAGCCTCTCGAGTAGCTGGGACTACAGGCATGCACCACCAAGGCTGGCTAATTTTTAGATTTTTTATAGAGACAGGATTTCTCCATGTTGCCCAGACTGATCTCTAACTCTTGGGCTCAAGCGATCTTCCTGCCTCTCCCGCCCAAAGCACCTTCCATGAATAACTTCAGGGGACGCCGTTCACACGGAACCCCCCTTCTGAGATGAGGACACACCTCTGCACTGCAGTCTCATGAATGATGCCTGCTGTGGTGTGGCACAGCCACCAAGATAGCAAGCCAGTGTTTAAAACCGACCACATTTTAGTCAACAATGTGACAAACTTTTTCAAAGACTCGTGAAGGTTCATTTGTAAGTATTCATGATTGACCAGTTTACCATGGCTCCTAACAAGGGGAAGCTGAAGTATACTTCATGAAAATGGCTATTACTATAAAGCAAAAATATAATTTTAGTATAGAATTTGCTAAGTGTAGGCCTTCCAAATGGTGATCTTAGGAAACTCAGAAAGCTATTAATATTTAAAATCATGACCACAATGCAATCATCTTTACATTAAAAACAAGTTCTCCAGTGGTTCTCAGACGAAGGAATAAAAAGGAAAAAATAGAGAAAAAAGTTCTCGATTTCCATAGAGAATTTGTGCTTAAATTTTCTTATGTCTTGGGTTTCCAGGTATATCAGTCAGATAACGTTTAATTTGATATTGCAAACTAGAAACATTCTTTGCCCCGTCTAATCCATTTTCAATGTTATCTGAGAGTTTTCAGACTTAAGTGAATGTTGCTTATGTTTATGATTATCATTTTATTAAGCCCTAGTATATCGACTGATTGTCTATGAAGTTCAGGGTTCTACCAGAAATCTGTGGGTCGACCTGATAAAGCGATGGTTGTGAGGGATGTTTAATGTTTGTAAATTCCTCTGCTCCCAAATTCAACTCTTGAAGTTCATCATGAATTCAGATTTTGAGGCTTAAAGAACAAAAATAAACTTGACATCCTAACAGGGCTGAACCTGACCTCTTCCACACCGTTACATTTTTCAAAGCAAAAATAACTATTTAAAAGTACCGCATGACAATGTGATCTACTTAGACCTATGTATTGCTTTGTTTTTTTGACACAGCATCTCACTCTGTCATCCAAGCTGGAGTGTAGTGGCGCAATCTCAACTCACTGCAACCTCTGCCTCCCAAGTTCAAGCAATTCTCATACTTCAACCACCGGGGTAGCTGGGATTACAAGTGCATGTCACCACGCCCAGCTAATTTTTATACTTTTTAGTAGAGATGGGGTTTTGCCACGTTGGCCATGCTGGTCTTGAACTCCTGGCCTCAAGTGATCTGCCTACCTCAGTCTTCCAAAGTGCTGAGATTACAGGTGTGAGCCACCACAATTAGCCTTGATGTATTGCTTTAGTCCTGTAAATCTGACAAACTGTCAGAACAGAGAGCACATGGACCTGCTCAAAGCACTTTAGGCGGAAACCTTTTAATGACCATCTTTAGATTACGCTTGTTTGTGAAGAACACTGGCTGAAGAAGAATTCAGTAAGAGCCGACATAAGGAGGTAAATGGGAGACATAACGCAGTGCGTGTAGTGTTAACATTCTCCAGCAATCTCTGAAGTCAAGTTCAGCTACACGCCTAGCCTTACAGGTCCAGCTCTATGTCCCTGAAGGTCAGCCTTCCTCCCAGAAAGATTCAGTTGCACCAGCTTAACAGGTACCAGACCAATTTAAATGATTACTCAGTCTGGATGAATGGGCGTGTAGTTATTTAGAAATATGAGAAGCAAGTATTATTCTTTATAAACCTTTAAAAAATATTCTTGATTCTGTAATGGAAACTGACAGATAAATGTTGTTGAGTTGGTTTTCAAAAATTCAGCCAACTTTTTTTTTTCACTTTTACAGAAAAGTGATAAAAAGGTTTAAGTTTTGATGTATCAGAAATTTTTACTAGAAGATTTTTCACTAAAAACCTTCTTTAGAATATGGAGGCCCAAAACAAGAAAAGAAGTTAAATGCTAGATGATACTGACCTATGAATTAAATGAGAACTCAAATGTTTTAATAATACTTAGGCTCAAAAACTTTATTTTTGAACAGTAAGATGTAAAGTAACTAGCTAGGCGCAGTGGCTCACGCCTGTAATCCCAGCACTTTGGGAGACCAAGGCGAGCGAATCACCTGAGGTCAGGAGTTGGAGACCAGCCTGGCCAACATGGTAAAACCCCACCTCTACTAAAAATACAAAAATTAGTCAGGCATGGTAGTATGCGCCTGTAATCCCAACTACTCAGGAGGCTGAGGCAGGAGAATCACCTGAACCTGGGAGGCAGAGGTTGTAGTGAGTTGAGATCATGCCACTGTACTCCAGCCTGGGCACTAGAGCAAGACTCTGTCTCAAAAAAAAAAAAAAAGCAAAAAACAAAAAATAAAAATAAAATAAAATAGCTAAATACTTTCTTCTTAACTTAAATATATATATATAAGATCTTTAAATCCCTCCAGAGTCTTAGAATTGTCATTAAAAATATGATTTTCAAATAGAATTTGAAAGTTTAGGTTTTCTAAAATATTTTCTTCTGCTATAGCTTACATAATAGCAAAAGACAGACAGAAACCAAAGGAAGAAAGGAAAGGAAAAGAGAGAGGGAGCTAAGAAGAAAGGAAAGATAGCAGGCAGGAAGGAAACAAACTCGTCTTTAATGAAATACCTGTTTAAAATCTGGAGCTATTGCTGAACATAACTTTAAATAGTTACCACCATGCCCTCGCCCAGGGGTCAGCAGACATTTTCTGCAAAGATCCAGACAGTAAATATTTTAGGGTTTTAGCCGTACAACCTCCATTGAGACTACTCAACTCTGCCACTATCGCATAAAGAGCCAAAGATCATCCATGAGCAAATGGGCACGGCTGTGTTCCAATAAAACTTTATTTAACAAAAACAGGTGGTGGGCCACACTAGGCCTGCAGGTTAGCAAACTCCTGTGCTAGACTCAGGTTTGTATGGTGTCCTTGCAAACTTCTGAGGCTGAAACCAAGGAGTCATCACTGTCACACAGAAGAAAAAGCTCCTCAATCTGTCTGAAAATCAGGGCCTTGGGATTTAACTTCCCTTCCCATAAAACCTAGCAGAACAGTTCTTCTTCTAAGTACAAATGACCTATGAATTACTCCACATAGTATTCCAACTTAGTGATACTGTTATCAGCTGCTTGGCAGTGAGGTACATTTTACTATTATACACTGGCTCTATGTTCTTTCTGTTCTTTATTTTATAGCCCAGTAATGGGAGGTATATAACCAATTTCGGAAAAGCCATGTGATTTCTCATGAAGCCTTATAAAAATATAAGGATTTAAAAAGCTGCTGGGTTGCCTGATGTCAGAAGTGGCTATGCACTCATAGGGCAGAAAGCAAGGCCTTACTTAAAGACCATTGTGTTTGCCAGTACCATCTGCCCCCACACCACACTCCCCTTAGGTGGCTCTCACCTGGGGTTCTGCTTCTCTCACTACTGAAAGAATAGGGATTGTCTGGCACTTAACAAAAAGAGATAGGCAGTCAGATAGTGAAGAATAGTCAGAGATAATACAATGCTAGAAAACTTAAAATAATTTGTATGTTGCAAGGGCGAGTTCATGTTAGAGATTTTGAAACATATACGTAACGCCAAAATATATTAATTAGAATATCGAAAAAGGAGGAATTATCGCAAGAAGAGGGAGAAAACGTTTCTTTGGGGCAAATGGAAAAGCAGGGAGAGCAATATGGTAGGCTAGATCTCTACTTAGCTTAGAATTAGTCCTCTCGTTCTCTTCCCATGTGTGGGGTGCACTTCCCCACACCTTGACTTTGAGTTTAGCAGGTTTGCTTTGGGCAATGCAATGTTAGTGGGGCGGGCATGACCAAAGCTTGAAGAGCCTTTTATGCAATGGGCTTGCGCTGTGGTGCCTCTGCCACCATGAGGTTAAGCGATCTCCATTTGCCCCCTTTTCTAAATAGCATGGGTACAGATGGAGCAGGACCACCCTGCTGGGCTCTGCCTGGATCAGCTGACTCCTGGGGAACCCACAGAGGCATGAGTGAAATCAACGTGAAATCAATGTACGTTGCTGTAGGTCTTTGATGTTCTGTAGTTGTTTGTTACCCGGCATTTTTGTAGCAAAAGCTAACTGATACAATTAACAGGTTCTATTTACTAAAATCTCTTGTAAGTTGGATGAAAAAGATAGTAAACGTTCCCTTTTAATATAATCTCTATTTCCATCTAGGAACAGTCTGAGTCCACATCAAGCCAGCAAACTGGTAGCCTGATCATGTATTTCATTTGAATTGCATGTTGCTGGCACACAAATGTTATAATGTACACACACACACACACACACACACACACACACACACACACACAATTGTCAATATTTAAGGAAATGTAGAGATTTCCCATAAAACCAAATTTCCAGATTCTCTTGAAACATGAGATTGGCAACTCTGGCAGGACCTCCATTTGGGAGCGGGGTGATGATTACACTGGCTCTCTTGAGAGAGGGTCCGGCATTCTGCAGCTTGTCACCCTTCCTCACACATTCCAGCACTGAAAGCGTCAAATGCCACTCACACAACAGCTGGGCTCTTGCCTCCTTTTTATAATATTTAAGAGAAAAGTAAATCTTATCTAATTTTTCAAATATTATTTTACACACATATGTAAGATATGTTAATTTTTGACATGACCTTTTCTGTAGTTTCACTCCTTAGGACTAAAATTTTCAGTTGTTGAACCCTCACGTTCATGTATTTAAAGATTAGATTGCAAAGACTGATGGGAGTCTTGGTCACTTTTGCCAGATTCTTCGTGGATTCTAAATTAATTTCTCCCTCTCAGTGCCAATTTAAAAAGTATGACAGCTGAAGCAGTTATTTTTGATGTCATACAGCAGCCTGAATTTTTAATTACAGAGGTAAGGAAAGGTTCTGGTCAGTTTTGGGGAAAAATTTTTTCCTATTATCTTTAAACACGGGAAGAACAGTCCATGGGAGGCCCTAGGGTGACCAGAGCATTCTGCCACCTGGAAAGTGCTACATTCCCGCCTCGTTACCTGGGAAACACGTGGTCAGGTGCTCCATCAGTGCTTCTTGGGTGACAGGTTTTCTTGCTGAGTTCATTGCTGAGATGGCCAAGCAGAGGATCTCCCCAAGTGGAATGAACTGAGACTGGCTGATGGGAGACATACTGATTGGTGATACATCACCTGCAGAAAGACAATTTTCAAGTGAGCGGTTCATTAAAAGACCCGGTCATCTGTCAGACACACACCTTCACACGTCCACAACCCTCCCACCTTCACACGTCCACCCAGCCCTGGTCTGATGAACACAGTTAGCTCTGAACACAGAAGCTGCTTACCATTTCCACTCAGGTGGAAAGACTTCCGTATGCAGTGGAAGCGCCTACCGCCTCAACAAATAAAACTAACATCTGAGATCTCACTGAAATAGTCCTAGAACTGAAAGTCTTGCAACAACAGCCTTTTATTCCTGGTTTTATTAACTTGGAGCTGATTTATTTAATAACTGCCATTCATATCTCGACAAATTGCATTTGTGTAACTTGTTTCATTCATTCCAACACTGAACGCCTTTAGCGTCTGCTGGGGGAATGGGAGCTGCAGGCAGAGTGAGTGCGTGCCTCTCCCCAGATATCTCTGCCCTCAGTTTCTATTTAAGTGGAGAAGGCAGAAAAGTAGATCAAAGTCCCAGTGTTTTGTGGCAGGCACACAAGAGAACAGAACAACACCTGGGAGCTGAGAGGAGACGGAGGATACCGCCACCTGGAGGTGAGGGTGGGACCCAGAAGCAGGAAGTTCCAAGGTTTCACCAAGGAGGTATAATCTGAACCCAGTGCTCAAGAGCAGGTGTGTCCCTGGGGGGGCTGGGACCTATAGACAGATGTTTTCTGGGGCATAGTAGAGAAGGGAGATAGGTAGGTAGGGACGACCATGAACAGAGCTGGGTGTGCAAGCTCTGCATTCTATTAGGGATGGTGAGCCATGAAAGGTCAAAGGCAGGTGCGAATTTCAGAAAGATGGCTGTGGTGGCGGTGGGGATGATGGCCTGGGAGGAGCAGGAGAAGGCAAATTACAATTCTCTCTGAGACTGTGGCCTCCTGCACACTAAAATGGCCAATGGAGGCAGGAGAGACTGAAGACCCAGCATCACAGGTGAGACGGACGGTGACTACTGAGGTGTCAACCTACAACGCAAACATCTGTCTTCATTTCTCGTCTTTACACCACAGTGCAGTGATTCTCAAGTTACGCTGCAGGGATCCCTGGAATATTTCTGGGACAGAGGTGCCCCAGTAGAAGCAGAGTCTGGGAGAGCAGGAAAGTCAGCTCCTGACACCTGAGTGCCACCTGTTTTATACTTGGGGTCCTCCAAGATTTCACTTGAAAAAATGTCCTACAGAAAGAGGAGCAAACTATCACCGCAGTAGAACACAGAAGGGCTCACAGAAAGGTCTGTTTACGTTTCGAATCTGATTTCCCCAATGTATTACATAATCTCTCCTTTTTCTGTTTCTGAAGCATGCTTGCAATAAGCTCCCATGGCTGACGGAATCCAAGACTCTGGCATTAAGCAACACCCTACCCAAGAAGGTGTTGGCTGCTCTGGGGTGGACCAGCCTCCTCACGACCAAGCACCTACAGCCGTGCCAGCCACAGTTCCTAGTCTGCAGAGGAATGCAGAGTCCCCATGGGAAAAACTTGCTGCTTTGATGGACTAGATGGGAAATGGCTTGGCAGCTGAAATCAGGCAGTGGGGCCTGGGAAGAAGGTCAGCATATGTGTGGTAGTCCAGCAGGTGCTCCGACAAAGCGGCAGGACTCCAGCACCCAAGGCCCAGGCCTCACCCCTTCCCACACCCAGCTCAGTTCAATGTGCCCCTTTCCCTGGACCACATGGGGCTCCACTCAGCGCTACTGTGACTCCACTCTCTGCAAGACGGATATGAGAAGGGTAAGGCATTATCCCAGTGGCCAGAGGAAGCCAGGAGTACCTACCCAGAAAAGAAAGAAGGGAAACATCAGCAGAAGCCAGGAACTGACCTAACTTAGAAGCCACAAATTTCCGGGGCCTATGGGTCATAGGCATCATAAAGAGATGCCCTTGGAAAAATTCTTATAAAAGCTGTTTGTTTGTTTGAGACAGGGTCTGGCTCTACGGCTCAGGCGGGAGTGCAGTGGCACAATCATAGCTCACTGCAACCTTAAACTCAAGACATCCTCCCGCCTCAGCCTTCCAAGTAGCTAGGACCACAGTCTGGCCACCTCCTAAAGCACTTGGATGACAGGCCACCACGCCCAGCCCAAACAAAGTCTTATTCTAAAACCTGATGTGGGTCGGGCCAGGTGGCTCACATCTATAATCCCAGCACTTCTGGTGGCCAAGGCGGGCAGACTGTTTGAGCCCAGGAGTTTGAGACTAGCCTGGGCAACATGACAAGACACCATCTCTACAAAAAATACAAAACTTAGCCAGGCACGGTGGCATGCGCCTGTGGTCCCAGCTACTTGGGAGGCCGATGTGGGAAGATCACTTGAGCCCGGGAGGTCGAGGCTATAGTGAGCTGAGATTGTGCCACTGTACTTCAGCCTCAAGCAGGAGCAAGACCTGGGGCAGGAGCCACAGAGCGAGACCCTGTCTGTCAATCAGTAAATACATAAGACGAATGTAAAGATTGGCTGAGTGCTGGTGGCGAGCTGCAGCAGAGGTGGGAGTTGGGAACTCCACCCGCCTGACTCTGCCCACCTCACAGCAGACCCTACAGCTCAGCCGTAGATAGTCTGAGACACTGCCCTGTGATTCCTTCTCTCACTCCACCTCCACTGTATAGGACAGGGCCACTGAGGCCAGCTTTCTCACAGAGTTGTAAGGTCAGCCATGTGGACCTGAAAGTCGCCTGGGATGATTTTAAAAGTCAGATGTAAAGGAAGATGAAATCAGCTGGGAAAGAGAGAGAGGGTCAATGCAGATTCCAGTACCTCTGGGCTTGCATATCACTCGGGAGGTTAACGCATTCAAACATGTGCCTGTTATAACTAAGAACATCTCAGAAGATGAAAGACACAAAAATACTAAATGTGATCCCCAAAATGCAGGTCACACTGTCTCTGGACTTTCTAGAGGTGATGAGGAAACTCGATCACTGCTTCAGTTTAGGTCATGCTTGTCCTTGTGGATTTAGGTGAAACAATTGGTTTAGTTTCACTGCCATGTTCTCAGTTAATTTCTTTTCATTCATTGTGGCCGACTCCAAGAGGCAGCATCCTTTAAGTGTCTGAATGGCATTTGCTTTGGAAAAGCTCGGTTTTACCATAATAATGAATATGGGCAATAAGTTTTAACTCGCAATATAGAACAAAATGGAATTTGGATGTTCTAAATATCTCCACCTCATCTCATTTTTGTACTGCACTAAGATAAATTACTTTCAACTCCTTTCCCACCCCCAAGCCCATCAGCAATCCTGTCTACACCCAGATATTTCCTGGTTTGTTCCCTTGATTCCACCCCTAGAGCTCTCCTAAACTGCCATCATCTCTCACCTGGTCCATCAGAATAACTTGAAGATGTTCAGCCTTCCCTCCCGTCTCCACCACTCCCCTCTCCACAGAGCAGCCAAGGTACTCTTAGGAAAACAGAAAACACACCACTTCCCTGCATAAAATCCTCCAGCGACTGCCTGCTGCCCCTAGAAGAAAACCTGAGCTCCTCGGTAGGTCTACAGGAGCCCACGTGGTCTGAGCCTGTTCACCCAACGCTAGGACCACTCTCTACCCCCAACCTTACTTTCCACTCACAACCTCCTCTGCTCTCTGAACATGTCAGGCATTTCCTCAACTCAGGGTCTTTGTATTTTTTGTTCCCTTGGCCTGGGATGTTCCTTGGGTCGACTTTTCAAGACTGGCTTTTCATCCTTTAGGTCTCAACTCAAATGGCACCTCATCAGAAAGCCCTCACCTGACCATCTGGTCTGCTGCCATTCCAACAGAGCCGAGTTTACTTGGCTGTCTTCTCTCCCTGCCCTGGACTTGGTTCACTGGTTTACTGTCTGTCTCACACACTCGAATGTAAGCTCCACGACAGAAGGCAACGTGAATGCCACATTCCCAGCACCTAGAATGACACGGTGCTGACCCAACAAATGTTTGTAGAATGAATGAATATCCATTTTTAACATCATAATCCAAGGAACTTCTTAATAATCTTGAAGGACTGTAATTTTATTAATATTTTGCTAAATAATTGCAAACAAACAAAAAGAGACCAAATAAGTTTAGCTGTGCAATTTCTAAAACTCCTCAAATCAACTGCATGAGTGACATTCCTCCAAAAACAGCTGTTACTATCGAAAAATAACTTTATGATACAAATATTATATAGCAATAAAAAATGAATAAACATGAGTAAGTTTTCTGAAAGAATAATTATATATTAAGTGAAGCTTAGGACATGCATTTAAGATCTGTATTAAAGGAATCACAGGTATCTCTCAACACAACATAAACATTATTCAGGTTTACCATAACCTTCTGTGGATCCTATATAAACCTACTTAATAAGCCAACTACTCATCGTTCAGATATGGTACTAGAAAATTCTTCCGGCTGGGCATAGTGGCTCACGCCTGTAATCCCAGCACTTTGGGAAGCCGAGGCAGGCGGATCACCTGAGGTCGGGAGTTTGAGACCAGCCTGACCAACATGGAGAAATCCCATCTCTACTAAAAAATACAAAATTAGCCAGGCGTGGTGGCGCATGCCTGTAATCCTAGCTACTCGAGAGGCTGAGGCAGGAGAATCGCTTGAACCTGGGAGGTGGAGGTTGCAGTGAGCTGAGATCATGCCCTTGCACTCCAGCCTGGCAACAAGAGTGAAACTTTGTCTCAAAAAAAAAAAAAATAAGAAGAAAGAAAATAAAATTCTTCCAACTACTGGACCATATTTATTTCTTCAAAGGAGAAAAAAGAGAATGTAAGTATTGCTAAAATATTATTGGTCACAATAATCTACATAATCTACAGAAACTACCATATTTTGCATGAATTATAACTTACTCGTCTGTAATTTATAGGATGGATGTTTCTATCATCGGAATTAGTTCAGAACACGTTCATAACGACAATTCATCTTAAAGCTCATTGGCACTTTGTCAGCTAAAAATTTCCTTCTAAACTACTATAATTCTAT